GTGCTAAAACAAGGCTCCAGGTACGTGTCTACAAAAGTGTAGTACATGTGAGGGGGTAAAGAAAAGGACCGAGGGACCTGCGTGTGAATCCTCAAAAAACTTCAGCAAGGCTACAGAGCTACACGTGAGGGGCTAAAAAGAAGGTTCCAGGGTTCCAGTACGGAAAATCCCAAAAAAATTTGGACCATTTCTCGATTTGTGCGTGTCATCCTTGCGCAGGGGCCATGCTAATCTTCTCTGTATCGTTCCAATTTTATCGGATGTCCCCGAAGGGACAAGTCTGCTGCAGGGAGCGGGCTTATAAACTGGTCGTTCACTCTATCGCTGGGCGATGTGGGACTAAACGAACGTAGCGTTTTCCTCCCGACCAGCCGGAAGCCAGCGGATCCCACATTTCGGAGTGGCGGGCCGTGAGTACGGTGGGACTCCTTATGCGGCCCAAATTGCTGGAGGAGAGTAATGGGCCGTCCTGTTAGTTTTGCAAAACGTGACGGGACTGTACTCTCCAAACGTGACGGGACTGTACTCCTCATGCATCGAGTTTGAAATTTCTGATTATGTCACCAGTTCGGCAACATGTTGCACAAACAGATGCTGCCGTCGATGTCGATCATCCTAATTTCTCCAATCTACAGTCCCTTCCAGTACAAGTCAAAAGTGCCCAAATATATATCCCTACAAATATATGCGAAACTATCGGCCCTGTCAGTGTACCAAATGGAGCCTGTGATGCAGAAAGCTTGCCTGACGGCCTGTCAGTATACCATAGCTGTAGTATCACCAAGCTGTACCCAACTTAGAAATCTTAAGCAAAGAGTAGTATAAAAGTACTACTGTACTGTACTTATGAACTTTGGATGGATCATTCCAAATGGAAATCTGTTCTGGTTTAACAGAATAACAGAGACGAAATTAAACTCCTCAGACTGCAGGAGCGTCACTTTCACCATAAAAAACTTCAGTGTGAAGTGTGAACTGTATTAAGTAACCACTCTGACGAGCATCAACTTTTGGGAAAACATGAGCAGGGGCAAGCCAATGCTACTTTTAAAAGCGAACAAAACATATGATCATTTGAAGAATAGCCTCTGAAACAAAATGAGCGTCGTTTGTTCTATTCTCACATAATAACTGAAGAAAAATCAACAGGTGCAGGTCCAAGAATTGCTTTTCTTACTCAATTTCACAAGGAGGGCCCTCAGAAGCACTTTTGATAGGCAGATGCACATAAGATACAGTGCATATTTATAAGTAACATGCATACAATTTTACATGAAAATAACTCAAAAGATCATCACAGGACCAATCACTATAATATTCTGTTGCCATGACATGGTGACAATACCAGCACTACGAACAGATAGCTTGTCATGGTGACAATCGCAACACTGCAAACAGATTATGTTTAGTTATTTCATTCCATCTCATGGATTCTGCATTTAGTTCTGTTCGATACGCATAAATAAGCCAAGTAAGAAAACAGAGAGCAGTAAAGATCAAGCAGCTGCCAGCTCCCTCCTCTTGAGCCGAACCATCATCCCGTTCCGTGTGTGCAGTATCACAGCGCTCTCGGGCATCACGGCATGGCCTTCCACCAGCTCGACCTTGAAGTTGTATATGATGGAAGCAGCTGCCAGCTTCATGTTGCTGAGACCAAGGTCCTTCCCAAGGCAGCTCCTGGGCCCGGAATTGAAGGACAGGAACTTGTAGCTTGGCTCGTGCCGAAGGCGCCCGCTCTTCGAGATCCACCGCTCTGGTCTGAATTCCATGCAATCCTTGCCCCATATCCCTTTGATCCTCCCCATGGCGTAGAGCGAGAACACAATCCTTGTGCCCTTGCTCACCATGGTACCATCTGGGAGGACATCGTCGTTGAGGGCCTCCTTCTCCTCGAATGGGGTCGCTGGGAAGAGCCTAAAACACATGCACAGCATGGGTTAGTCAGATGGTTGGGAGGAGCTAGACAAGGTGAAAGGGGTATGTCACCTGAGTGTCTCGAGGAGTGCAGCTTGCAGGTAAATAGCAGGCCGGAGCGTGTCGCACTCAAAGACAGAGAGGTTCCCTGGCCATGTGGTGCTCTGCAGGGCCTTGATCTCCTCGAGGATCTTCGCCTCAACATGCGGGTGCTTGCACATCATGTAGAAGAACCACGTGAGTGTGACAGCAACAAGGTCCTTCCCAGCAAAGATGAACCCCACCACTGTGTCGCGCAGGAACAGGGTCTTCTGCTGCTCACTCATGCTGGAATCCATGGTCCAGTTCATGTACATGGACAGCACGTCTCCCTGGCATTGCTTGGTCGCTTGTGCCTTCCGCTTCGCGATTTCCTCATAGATAAATTGGTCGATCACCACCCTTGCATTCGCCATCTTCTTCTCGCTGCCGACTTTGAGCATTCTCAAGAGCTTCCACAAACTTGGTGGAACAACATGCCTGAACAGCATTCCTTCCTCCACTTCCTTTGTGGCTTGGCCAAACGCAGGGATCGGGCGAGACACAGACAAGCAGTCAAGGTCAGTTGCAAACACAGTGGAGTACGAGACATCAAGTGAGAACCTCATGAAGACACCCTCCAGCTCAACCTGTGAGCCGTGCTTAGCCATGTGGTCAAGGAAGGGTAACAAGACTGTGCCGGCCTTCCTCGTGATGGTGGACATGGAGAAGGACCGGAAGGCACGGCTTGCAAAGATTTGCATCGCCACACGGCGCTGGTACTCCCAGGATTCAGAGTCTGCCACAAGGAGGCCATCACCTAGGATGTCAAACATCTCGGCGAACTCACTGCCTTTTGGGTAGTTGTCGAAGTTGGTGTTGAAGCAGTGGTTGACAGTGGCTGGGTCGCAGGTCGCCAGGAAGCTCATGTTGAGGAACCACGGGCCAATGATCCTGAAGGTGCATCCCGCCTCTCGGAGCATATCGGTGACCCTGTCATGAATGTGGTACAGATTCTTCACGAGGAAGGGAAGCATCCCAAGAACAGGCCAGTTCACCGGGAGGTCACTCTTGTGGCAGTGTCGGACAAGGCGGAAGAGGGAGAGGCAGAAGAAGCAAGCAATGGCTAGGAAAACCTCAGGGTAGGACAGAAGGAAACTCCAGAAGGAGGCCATGGTTGAACATGCAGAGGGAAAAAGGCATGCAGCAATTTAGGCTTCACCTTTGCCTTGCCAGTGTCAAATGTATGGCTGGTATTGATATATACAGAAACTGCATATGAGTGTCTTCCCCGTGGGATAGGTAATCAGTTTCCGAGAGTTTAGGATGCAGTGAGTCACAACATTCATATGTCCTAATATAACTGCTATAATTCTGGAGGCCATAGCATTAGTCTTCTACCTCAAACAGCTTTCTTCAGCATCCAATTTCTGAAGAACTAGACATTCTATACTTGTCGATACACACTTAATTAACACATCAGATAAGCTGTGTTGACATTTTCGAATACATACACATTTATAGAAAATCAACGTTGACCCATCACAACTGTATGCACTTGCTCACAAAATAACCATTTAATTTTGCAGTTTCTGATTCTAATGTTGTTTTCTTAAGAACTGTATAATCCTCTTTTAGACCATAACTGGCTGCGACTAGGGACAGAGCATTTCTTCGAGTCTTAAAACTGATCATAATCCTAATCTGTTGAATGATTTGTTTCCCATGCAAACACCCAAAATGTGTGGGATTACTCTCATGTAAATTTTGTGATGCCAGTATGTCCCGTGGCAAGAGGGAAGTGAGCTGCTTGTTTTCATCAGACCGATACGTCTTAGCTTCCTAAGTAGAGACATTACCTAAGGGCAACCTTGCTGGAGTATTCTTATGACAGAGTGCATCATCCAAGTAACTGCTGAATCACTAAATATAAACCAAATCACTAACTCTGGCAGACCAATAAATATAGACCACCATTTCTTGTGCAGTTTCTCTTGTTAGCAGGCCTGTAACAAAGGGATGAGTCCTAGTGAACCACCAAAGAGAGTGGTGTGTACTCTGTAACAGCCTTTATAATCTTGTTTAAAACTAGTAGCACTCTTAGTCTACTTTTAGATGATAGCACTCTTACTCTTAGCAGCATACCAAATTGTAAAGGAGATGATGTGTTCTAAACAGGCCCTAGAAACTGATGCGACGAGTCATTATACATGCTAGAATGAAACAATAAGCTAAATGACTGTCGAATTCGCCCTACAGCAGCCTAAATAAAAATGTGATGGCATATCAGATCCTTGCAAGAAATGGGCAATTTGTAAGCAATTCATAGGTTCCACTTTCATTACATGGCAGGATAGGAATACATTTTAACCACTTGGAGCCAGTATGTCCTGTGGCAAGAGGGAAACGAGCTACTTGTTTGCATCAGACCGACACGTCTTAGCTTCCTAACCAGAGACATTACCTACCTTGTTGGAGCACTCCTATGACAGTGTTCACCAGCCGAATAACTGCTGAATCGCTACATATAAACCAAATCATAACTCTTGCGGACCAATAAATATAGGCAGCAATAGATGGACTGTCATTTGCTGTTCAGTTTTCTCTTGTTAGCAGGTCTGTAACAAAGTGAACCACCAAAGAACTGTGGTGTGTACTCTGTAATAACCACCAAGTATGAATTTAGCAGCAGTCTTAATTTTGTATATTTAGATGGTAGCACTCTCACTCTTAGCAGCATACCAAATTGTAAAGGAGATGATGTGTTCTAAACAGGCCCTAAAAACTGATGCGATGAGTCATTATACATGCTAAAAGAGAAACACTGAGCTAAATGACCGCCGAATTATCTCAAGAAAAATGACTGCTGAATTCGCACTACAGAGGCCTAAATAAAGATACGACGGCATATCAGATCCTTGCAAGAGATGGCAATTTGTAAGGTTAAAGACAACTGCATACTTAGATTGATAAAATTCATAGGTTCCACTTCCATCACATGGCAGGGCAGGAATACATTTTAACCACTTGGAGCAGCAGTTCATAACCACACACAGAGAGAGACACATCTAAGTGACCTTCTGGAAGAATCCGTCGATGCGGCGGGTCCCACGTGGCAGCGGCTTGGGTACTGCTGCTTCAGCGACCGCGGCGGCACCATCGGATCCGGAGCGGGCGACGCGAGGCGCCGCCTCCGCAGCAGCTGGAAGGCAGTCGAGAAGGAAGTCGGCGGTGGGGCGGTGCGCGCTGACCGCGGCCCGGACGTGCGCGGCGCGCACCGTCCGCCGGCCACCTTGGGAGGCGGCCGTGTGGGCGCCGGCGGCGAGGGAGCCGAGGAAGAGCTCGGTGGCCGCGGCGATGAGCAGCGACGCCTCGGCGGTGACCTTCTTTATCTCGCTGTCGACCCGCATGATCCTCTTCACCCTGCCCAGCGGGAGCACCGTCTGCAGCGGCTGGGCCTCCGCTTCCTCCTCCCCCGCCACCGCGTGGACCTCCTCCCGCTCTTCCTCTTCAGCCTGTCCCGATGCCTCCATGTGCGCCTCAGCGCCAGCATCCGCCTCCTCCTCCGCGTCGATCTCCGCCGCCTCCTCCCCTTCGCCTTGCTCCATCGGCTCGGCCGCATCGTCGTCGTCGGCGGCGGCGGCTGTCGCCGCCTCATCCCCTCCAACTTGCTCCATGGCCTCGGTGGGCACATCGTTGTCATCGGCGGCGGCGGGGGCGGCTGCACCAGCCACCTGCTCCTCCCCTTCAACTTGCTCCATCACCTCGATGTGCTCGGGGGCGGCGGCGGCGACGGTAGCCATGGCTAGGGGGTTTGGATTTGGCAGATCTTGTTGGGGATGGACGGATGGTGCTTGGATTTGGGCAGTGGAGAGAAGTGGCGGGGGGGCTGGGGAAATTTTCCCGCGCGATGGACTGGCGGCGGCGCCGCGGCGCCGGAAGAAACCTCATGTGGCTGTGGCTGATGCAGTGGGCCGGTGTGGCAGCGAAAGCCCAGCATCTATTTGCTTTCTCTCTTTGTCATGCATAAACCCATGGGCCAATGGCTCTCGTTCTGGCCCATCGAGCGTCGACGGTGATGGTATGCTCGCGTGTCGCCACGTCAGTAAACGCACAGGAGCCTTGTGCTCTGCGTCAAGTACCGGCTAATCATAAGACCGGCTAATGATAACCCATTGTGAGCTTACAAAAAGGTAACAATCGAGTAAAATGAGGGGAAATAGCAAATCCATCTAGCTAATGGAGAAACATGTATCATTTGATCACATGGTCAAGTATTTTTATCGAAGTCGATGTCCGACTGTGACCTGAGGTGGATGATTAACCAGATAATAATACCGTCACCAAATTTTCCGTGTTGAGTATATTGATTATTAGGAAAGACTATATAGACTAGGATTAGTTCTGATTTGTCTTGTACTTCAAGTTGATCGTTGTACTCCTATATATATGCCCACGAGGCTTAAGAATACAATAGACTATTCCATCAATCCATTCTATCCCTTTTAGCATGGATCTATCGCAAGTCGATCCTAAACCCTAGCCGCCGCCGCTTCCGCACCTGCGCGCCGCCCCCGGGACGGTCGGCCTCCATGACCGCTGCCGGGGACCGCGCCGCCCGTACATAGGGTTCGTCCGCCGGCCGTGTTGGCCGGCTGCCCTAGAGAGTCTTTTTCCTGATCCTTTGATCCGGATTTTCTCTCTCTCTCGCCAGTCGCTTTGATCGGCGTCTACTTTTTGGTTTTCCGGTCTATGTGATCCGGTTTGCGTCGCCCACCACCGCCGTCGACCCCGTGCGCCTCTACTCCAACACCGGCGCGATTGGCCCGCTTCTTCACCGACCCGGCGGCCTCGCGCTTCGTCCGCGCGTCTACCCGTCGGTCGCCCCGACGCGACGGCCTCGCGCGTCGTCCGCGCATCGGCCCGCCGGTTGCCCCGACCCGGCGGCCTCGCGTCATGCGGCGGCCCTTCACCGCCGCCGTTCGCGCGACGGCCCACCCGTCGATCTACGCCGGCCGTCACCGCGCCCTGCTCCGACCGGGACTCCTGCATCACCCCGACCCGACGGCCTCGCGCCCTGCGGCGGCCAATCATAGCCGCCCTGCCGCCCGCCGCCGCCGGCTTCATCTCGGACTCCGCCGCCACCACGCCTCCACCGAGCGGCGTCCCCGACCTCGCACGCGATCGACTTGATCACCCGCTCGCCGCCGCGATCCGCCTCATCTACGCCGCGCGACCAACCTGGCCCGTCAGTTACGCGCGCCTCCGCAGGTCCCATGAAGATCGTCTCCGAGTTCAGCGCGCCCCTCCGTCGATCGAGCAACGGGCTGCCGCTGCGTCGCCCCGTAGGGCCGCAGCACCGCCGCCCTGTGGTTCTCCTCGCAGCTGCATCGACTCGTGCGTCGCCACTGCGTTGCCCCTTCGGGCCGTAGTGCCGCGATACGCGGTTCCCGCCGTTGCCTCGAGGTCGTCCCCGCGGTTGCACCGACTCGCAAACCGCTGTTGCGTCGCCCCTTCGGGCCGCAGCGTCGCGGCCTGCGGTCCCCGCCACCGCCCGAGGTCTTCCCGCCGTCGCCCCGACTCGCCTGTCGTCGCTGCGTCGCCCCTTCGGGTCGTAGCGCCGCGGCCCGCGGTCCACTCCGCCGTCACCGCGCGTCGACCTCCCGTGGTATGCGTCGCGCCGTCTCCCTTGGCGCGGGAACGCCACCGTCCGCGCCGGTCTTCATCACGCTGTCAGGGTTCTTCGCCTACTTCGAGCACCGCCGCCGCACTTTTAACGTAGCCGCCGCCGCCGCCGCTACCTCTGTAGCCGCCGCAGCCGCCCGTCCACCCCCTTCATCTTCGTCCAGCACCAGCCCGTCGCCAGCGTCGCCGTCATCTACCCCGACCGCTTCATCTACTCTGACAACCGCGGGCGACATTGGCCCCGCGCCGATTGGCGCCGCAATCGTCGTCGAGTCCTTCTCTGTTGGCCTCTCAAACTTCCTCGACATGGCGTACAACTCGTGCAGGTCCCAGTCTACGCATGCCCGGTGCTGGCAACGCTGCCGCGTGCCTTCGTCCACGACGTGTCCCCGGGCCTGGCAAGCCTGGTGCGGCGCTTTGTCAACTTCGTCTTCGTCCGTCTACGCATGCCCGATGCTGGCAACACCGACGCGTGCCTTCGTCTATGATGTGTTCCCGGGGTTGGCAACCCCGATGCGACGCGTCGTCAACATCATCTCCTTCCTGGCGCACCACTACTTCGACACCACTGCGCTCACGACTAACTCGGCGCCTCCTTGCGCCCGCGGCTCCACGGCGACTTCCTCGACACCGACTACCCCGACTGGACATCGACCACGGCATTCTTCGCACGGCTACCTCGACCACGGATCCACCACCCACGCTCTCGACTACATCGACAAACGGCACAAAGGGCTACCGCCTGCTTGAGCAACCTCGTTGGTTTTCACTCCAGCCACAACTCCGCGATGCATCGCCCGTTACAACTGTGTGTGTGTGTGGGAGGGGTCCGTCGGCTTGCCTTCGGATTCTTCTCCAGTCTCACCGTCTGCATCGCTCCCGTTGTGACTGCGGGGGGATGTTGAGTATATTGACTATTAGGAAAGACTAGATAGACTAGGATTAGTTCTGGTTTGTCTTGTACTCCAAGTTGATCATTGTACTCCTATATATATGCCCACGAGGCTCAAGCAATACAATAGACTATTCCATCAATCCCTTCTATCCCTTCTAACATTTCGAGATTGTGTTTTGACGTGAACCCTTGAGATTGCGCTGGTCAATAACTAACCTGCAGCACACGCACGCACCAAAGACTGACTGACCAATGTTGGAATGTGCAATGCTCAAGTCTTTGGATCCGTATGAGATGACCGCATAGAGGTGCAGAAGTGCAATTGCGTGACTAATATCTAGGTCAATCAAATGAACCAAAAATATCAAAAGACTAGGGTGGTCACAGGTGGTCTAGTCTAGTGCACACCGAAGGTTCTGTCTCGTGCGTCATGTGTTGATCTTCCCAAGACCAACCTTGGCGAGTGCTAGTCATCTACTCCCTCCGTCCGGAAATACTTGTCGGAGAAATAGATGAAAATGGATGTATCTAGAACTAAATTGTGTCTAGATACATTCATTCCTCTGACAAGTATTTTTGAACGGAGGGAGTACTAGACTACTACTACCACATTGATCTGCGGGAGGTTTTGGATATCCCTCCCGGTCGATGGCAACAACCATGATCTGCGCGGCGCAATGCATGTGACCCCTCGTCTGTCAAAATACTACTTCCTCCGTCACATAATATAAATCATTTTTGACACACCAAGAAGCTAAGCCATGGCCATGATTCCACCAACACCAAATATGCACGAGGATCGCTACTTCTACTTTCAAGTTCGTCGATGCGCCGATGCGTCTGGCAACGCTTGTTGGCGGGACCGGCCGGCAGGTAATGCTACGCTTCAAGTTCCGGTGTAGGTTTCTGAAAGTGATGACAGCCTCGCTGTACTTTCCTGAGACTGAATTGTTTATCTCTGCTCGCAGAAGAAACTTGGAACTGATCAGCACCGCCGTGACAAAAACGTGGAACTGATCGGCACTACTCCCTCTCTTCCTAAATATTTGTCTTTCTAGACATTTCAACGAGTGACTACATACGAAGCAAAATGAGTGAATCTATACTCTAAAATATGTCTATGTACATCCATATGTGTAGTCCATTTGAAATTCTAAAAAGACAACTATTTAGGAAGAGTAGTAGTTAGGAGGATGTGCGCACGCCAAGAAAGGGTATAGATAGTGGGAGGAAGAGAGTTTATGTAGTAGGGAAAATGGAGTATATTTGGTGCGTGAGCTTGGGCCAATATCAACAAACTAATTGTTAAATCGTCATGTATTTATAGCATAACAGCAAGGACGGTGCTTTTTTTTTTCAAAACTTTGCAAGGGCGGTGCCTTGATCGAGCTAGCTTGCTTAACTGACATTCTCCTCGCAAGCTATTTAACTAAATCATGACATGATATGCTACTACTTTTCCCGTAGAAAAACCAACTTACACCAATGGCAAAATTGCACTTTATTCTTTCTCTTTTCACGGGTGAATTGTTCTGCTGTTATTGGCCCACTTTATGGCGACCTCTTCTTGCCTGCCTTTCTTATTTTTGATAATGTGGAGAAAAGTCATACTCCCATAGTAGTAGCAGCAGCAACAACAACAACACCAACTAATGTAAGGACGGTGCATTATTTTCGATATTATGCAAGGACGGTGCCTCGATCGAGCCCGGCTTGCTTAACTGACAATTTCGTGTCAGGCTAGTAATGATACCATGATATGCTACTAAATTTCCTGTAGAAAAATCAACGTACAAATTGTACTTTGCTATTCCGTTATCGTTAGCCGCCTTGGTGAATCTTCTTCCGGCCTCTCCTTTTCATTTCCAAAATGTAATTGAGATATATAGCTTCGGTTCATGCACTAATGAAGCTCTGGATATGTACAGTCTGCTGAGATAATTAGCCACTGTCCAGGTCCAAGCTGTTCGTCCATACTCCTTCGGTCCATGGTCAAGAAGAATAGTACACTTCATCAACTACTTTCAAGAAGAGCTTAAATCATGTGCCCAGTTTTGTGTGTTGTACCTGTCTTGATTTGGCATCTTGCACGATGCAAAGCTCACGATGCGTACTGTCTCTGTTCGATCGATACATGTCTATTTGTGATGGCCGCTTGTGTGGTGATGCATGTGGAATCTGTTCTTCATGGCCCAGTCTTGGTTAACTTTTTTTGGTGCACGT